CCTAATTATTCCCTCTCCCATTTGTGAAGCTAGTTTGGTGTTTTGAAGGAAGAAGGTGGAAGAAGGAAGCACAGATCCAACAAGCAAGCCCCATTCCTCCGTTTGGCACTCTTCTGGACCTTTATAAGTGTCCAAGACCCGATTATTATCATTCAAAGTTGTTAGATCTTGAGTTTTGTCCCTTTTCTCCTTGTTCTTGGATGTTTCAAGGGATGGATCTCATAAAGTTTGCAACTTTATGAATCTCCAGGTCAAGGTGACGTAGTAGTGGCTTGGATCTGGTCTATAACCAAGTTTTGATGCCATGCATAGAGATTAGGTCATAAATCCTCTTTTTGACCTAATATGGGTTCAAGACATGCATTGGACATGCATGTCTAAAAAGCACCAACCTTTGGGATGGTTTAGGTGTTGTAAACACTTCTGGAAAGGGTTGGACTTCAGATCTTAAGGATTAAGAGTATTTTGGCTAAGCCCTTGCTTTTCAAGCATGTGATTTGGGTTTTTGGGGCCTTTTTGGTAGTCCTAATGGATAAAGTTGGAAACTTTACCCCTCCTAATCACATTTTGGTCTAGATCTGAACTTTGGAGCTCTTGAAGTTGAAAGGGCTGCTGAATGTATTAAGCTGCTGGGACTTGGGCGAACACGACGTGTAGGCTGAGGTTTTCTCGACTGTTTGGATGCTCGCGGAACACGGCGTCGCCAAGGGGGAACACGACGTGTTGGGTCAACATGGATTCTTGACCTTGACCAAGTTTTACCTTGAGGGTATTTTGGGATCTTAACGGATTTGTTCACTTGGCGTGAACAGGTATCAGTTAGAGAATTGAGATTTCAGAGTCGGACCTCATCAGTTATGTTCGGTCTGCAAGGTGAGTTTTCCTTATTGTACTTGCGGGTCGAAGGCACCAAGGCCGACCCTTTGGATTTGATATCTTGTTATGTATGTTGTTGTACTGTAGTGATATGTTAGATCGGTATCCTGGTATATAGGATGATGCTATGCTTCTTGATTTGTAAGATATGTCTGTTGTTACTGGCTGGTTATTTGCATGCTTGTCTGTTATGTGTGTGTGTGTGTATATATATATATATATATATATATATATATATATATATATATATATCTGTGTGTGTGTGTGTCGACACGGTGTATGTATGGTTGGGTTGAGGCGGTCCTACTTTGTGCTGAAGGCCAACAGACCCAGGGCGTCCCGAATAGACTGGAGGCCACTGGTGCGTACCAGTCAGGCCGAAGCCCTAGAGAACGTTCCAGATAGGCTGAAGGCCCAGTGTGGCGTACCAGTCATGCTGAAGGTTCTGTTAGCGTACCAGGTAGACTACAAGCCGGTAGGGCGTTCCAGTCGGACTGAAGGCTCTGTATTAGTGTTGTTTGGTGTTCTTATTATGATATTGTGACGTGTTGGTATTTTGGGGGAACTTACTAAGCTTTGGGTTTACAGTTTTGGATTATGTTTCAGGTACCTCAGAGGATCGCGGGAAGGCGAAGGCGTGATCGTGCACCTCCTCGTGTTATGTTTTATGATTTTGGGAAAACTCTGATATTGAACATGTTTTGAAAACTATTTTTTAAACAATGATGACTTATGGATTGGTTTTTAAAAGTTTATATTTTTCATGAATTTTATGGGTGTTACATATCTTTTCACAATCTGGATTCTCGCAGGAATCATCTATCTACATCCCAAAAGGGATCATAATCTCTTACCCTGTAGGGACATTACCGAAGGAGTCATACTCTTGTCCCTATAGGAACCATACTCTTCTACCGTAGGAACCATGCTCTTATTCCTGAAGGAATCTTACTCTTGTCAGCGTAGGAACCATACTCTTATTCCCAAAGGAATCTCTATTTCTTGTTACCGAAGGAACCCCACTCATGTCCCCAAAGGAACCTATATCTCTTGTTCCCGAAGGAACCATGCTCTTGTTCCCGTAGGTACCATGCTCTTGTTCCCGTAGGAACCATGCTCTTGTTCCCGTAGGAACCTCTATCTCTACATCTATATCTTTGTTATGTGACTCATCACATAACACTAATCCCATGAACAATCTATCTCTTTGTCTCGTCAAGAGATCTTCTAATACATATCTAGAACATAACTCATTAAGTACTTATTCTATAACTATGTCTAGTAACATATTGGTATTCTACACAATACCATTTATGTCTGAACATACATTCTTACTCTTATGATTATAATGGATATAATCATCTTCTATCATTTTTTGCTATCTCTTGGGTACCCTTCTCATCTCTAACCATGCATAGGAATACATTGCATATAATCCTATTATTTCTTTATCTACTTTTATGGGTATTACTTATAATACCCATATATTTTCCTTATACATTTGAACATACTTTGGTTATACATACATGCTCAGATACATGTCTTACATGTATAACCACATTTACATAATCTTACATAGGGTTATAATCTATATAGCACTACCTTTTCTTCCTCTTTGTCATGCTGAGGTACATGCCTCTAACATACATAAACATACATACATATATACATAAAATGTATAAAATAACTTAGAGAGAGAGAGAGAGTAATAACTCACCTTGTCAGTTAGTGAAGACTAGTTGTTCCACTTTCCTCTACTCCCCCATTGATGCATTCTGGGTCCATCTTCTTGGTCTTAGGCATATTCATATTTACAAGTATCTTAATACTTATCTTAGCCTATTAAGAGCTTAATGACTCTTAAGGTCAAAATGACCACTTAATGGATCAACACTTTATCTCTTCATTCTCTTCTCTTAGTCCAATCCAATTAATGAATTAAGCATCCCATACTACTCAATTCATTATAATCTACATCTAATGCATCAATTGACTACTCACTAGTTAGGGTTTCAAACCCTCACTTTACATACATAGATTTCATAGGAAATCACTTTCTAAGCTTGATTAAAGCACCTGCACACTATCATTAACATTATAATCAAGCTGTAGGATGATCAATTCAACCAATCTCCTTTAATCAAACATTTCACCAAAAATAGAGAAATCATACCTTGATGTGGAAAGGATAACATTCTAACAACCCACCATCTCTATCTTCTCTTGGCACTATTTGGGCAACAAAATCGCCCCCTTTGAGCTCCCAATAGATCTGACGATCTTAATGGATCGAATGTGTTCTTAACAGGTTATAACATGTGTTCTGCGTGCATAACCGCGCCGCTCTTACTTGTTCACCGCGCCATGGTGACCATTTGACCTCGGTCAATGGACGTCACTTAAGCCACCGCGTCGTGGCAATCTACTTTCCGCATTGTGGTGCTCTTCCTCCACTAGCATCCTACTGTGGCCACCACACTGTGGTGCCCATACACTGCGCTGTGGGGCAAAGTACATTACATTTCTTTCTTACGAAGACGCCCCAGTGCACCGTGGTGATCAACCCACCGCACCGCGGTAGATGCTTGACAACCTCTTGGTTGATTCCATTCCAACTTTAGGATATTTTTCCCAACTTCTAACCTTCATAACTTCTTCGTTTCTTATCCTTTTTATATGATCTTTATATCCATGCGAAGGTGGGAACATACTATACAATTAAGTTAAGTCATATATTCCTAACTTAATACGGGTCTAGATCTATTACGTCACAAACTTGGCCCAAAAAGCATAAAATTCCTATTTTACACTTTTGACCAAAAATGCATCTTCTCATTTATTTCTCTTGAACTTACTCATCTAACCTCTTCTTAGTGACTTAAAATCTTATTGGCCATTTTCATTAAGTGAACTTCATAATCCCATCTTTTTCTCATAATTAACCGTTTTGCCATTTTTGTCAATATTTGACTAAAAGTCAAATTTATATAAATTTTAGGTTCTTACAACAAAGGTAGGAAACACCGAAAAGAAAGGACGTATGTATCAAGAGGGAAGGAGATGAGATTCACAGAGTTGCTAGTAGTTTGGAAATTTATAATTTGAATTTTAAGAGTCGTAGGAGAAAAAGAAAGCTAGAGATGAGAAGCAAAAAGCTCGAGAAGAGAAGAGAAGCAAAGAAGTTGGGATATGAAATTTTTAACGAAACCTTTTGATCACCTCCCCAGAAACGAGCTCGATATGGTTTTGAGGGCTAGAGCGGACATCATAAAAAAATTACAATTAGTATTTCTATTTAATTATATTTTTATTCAATTAAAAAATAAAAATAAAAATAAAAGTGTGATAAAATAGGGTATGACACACACTACTAAAAGAAAGAAAAAAAAAAGGAAAAAGATCATGCAAATTGTTTTGAATTTTTTTTTAAATATGTTTTATGATCTATTTGAGTTTTTCTTTTCAATTTTTTTTTAAATAAAAAAATCAAAATCTAATTAAATATAAATAATAATTCAGTTAAAATCTAACTATAATTTTAAAATTATCCTGACTTCCAACCCATGTTATGAATATTTTAATGAAATTTTTACAAATATCATGTCATAAAACAATATTTCATTATTTATCAAATATGCAACTACCCAAAAAATGTTACCAAGTTATAAATATTATTTGGTAAAAATATAGATTTAAATTGAAAACTACCCCCAAAAAAATGTTACAAATGCTTTAGGGAAAATGACATAAATGTCCTACGAAGTTTTAAGGTTGGTCCATTTAGTCCTTAAGGTATTTTCGTTGCTGTATGAGGGCATAAATTAGTTTTTGTCGGGTTTGTTAGGTCATTTTGGAAGAATTGAAAGGGTAAACCGGTTACCCCTTGCCACATAAGCATTTCTTAAGACCCCATTTCCCTTGACCCAGGTATGTGATAAATCATCTTCCCTTCGTTCTTCAAATACCTAGAAACTGGATCTTACACAAATCCACGACAACGTTTTCCTGGTTCTTCCCTCCCTTTCATTCCTCATCCTTCACAAACTACCAAAGTCCCTGATCACCGCAAACTCTTGGCATGGTGTAGGAGGAAGTAGGCGGCGATTTCTATGATCTGTCGAGTGATGGATGTAGTGGTGGTTGAACCTGTTAGTTTTAGACCGGAGAGGTATCTCTTCACGAGAGTCGCGAGGTTTTCACTCGGGTATTTCTTTACAACCTGAAGTAGAAATCGTCCTTGTCATCTAGGAAATTAGGGCTCCCTAATTTGACAACTCAATCCCAGTTACAGTTTTCAACAATGGCATCCAAACACAACTATGAAGTCGGTCTGATAAGAAGAGGGAAGGATTCAAGTAGTTCAAAAAGGAGAATGGATTTGTAAATGGAAGAGGAGGGAAGGATTCAGCTAGTTCAAGAAGGAGAATGCGATTTGGTGGTGAAGAAGAGAGAAAAAAAATCAAAGAATAGTTTTGTGTTACATACATTTAACTGATTATATTCTTTTTGTTTGAGATCTGATATGGAGATTAAGTACCTGATTATGCTTTTGATGATCTTGACAGACATGGATTTGCAATGGTAACACATGGGAGCGTTTCTATAAGCATGAAGGGAAGTGGAGCTGTAATGATGCAGAAAGGAGGCAATGACTCAAAGAAATCGAGTACTCCATGGGTTCCAGATCCAGTTACACAACTTACTACAAGCCAGAGGGACAAACCTCCGTGAACAGATGTTGAAGCATAAAACTCATGGATAGCAAAGCAAACTCATTGAAATTCATCTCCAGAAAGGAGAATAGATTTGGAAATGGAAGAGGAGGGAATGATACAGGTAGTTCAAGAGGGAGATGGCGTAGAGAGAAGAAATAAAAGATTTTCTCGTGATAAAACAAGAGAGGATGATGGGTTTGTGTTTGGATCCGGTAACAAAGAAATTGTAAAAATGTGATGTTGACTTTCCAATGGTTGATATGGCAAAAATAGTTGACTTGACATTGAAACTGGCTAAAATAGGTTATTGTGACTAAAAACGCAGGTTGTTTCCTACCTTATGTCCCTATAAAGCACCGGAAATACTTTAAGAACTAAATGGACCAAACCGGAAATACTTTAAGAACTAAATGGACCAACCCTAGAAACTTAGTAGAACATTTAAGTCATTTTCCCAATGCTTTAAATGAACACACACATATTCAGCAACAAATAGTGACGAACAGATTGGGTCGTTACCGGTGACCAATTTTAATGTGAGATTTTTCTACTCAGAATATTGATTCATTAGTAAATTTTTTGTCATATAACAAAGTACTACTCTGAACCATCAGGTGGCTTAATCTCCTTAATTCCTATATGATATATCCAAGTTCAAATCATGACGTTTCAATAAAAAATAAAGAAGCTAGGGGTAATGCAACGCAACATCAGTACTTGTAAAACAAAACAAGACAAAACGTCTCTATATCTTATACTCCTTTAAGAAAAGCATCCTAGGTTTAAGCCACAAGACCCATATATTAATAAAATCGTTTGTAAAAAGCTTTTTCCGTGCAATTGAATGCATTGCATGCTTTCATCAATGATCATATTCCCTTTACAATTAATTAATAAGTAAAATTAAAACAATAGTCTCGAGCCTAAGAAATTAGCGAATAGCCCAGAGAAAAGAATCTTTGGGAAGATTGTTAATCTTGAAACATGACCACTCGTGAGAGCAAGAGCGGAAGGCCGTGTTTGAAGGAAAGCGTTGGCTAACATGTGGCCAAGAGAGACCTGAGATGGTGTGGTGAGGTGCAACCCATCTGGTTCCAGGCTAAGACCCTTTGCATCAACGGTTCGTAGGTTCACCAGGTCCATTCCTAGTTGCCATTCTCTCACCATCTCTACGTATTCTCCTTCCCCGGATGCCAATGCTACCTGCATACCATGCCCGTTTAAAACATAAAACATGTAACCTTTTTTTAGATAAGCCAAAAAAACCAAACAACGTTTTTGCAAGACTCTAACAATATAATCACCTTTTAGGTAAAAGACTATAAAGGTAAAAGACTATAAGAATGTAATGATATTTGTATCATTTGTTTAAAATATAACGGATTTTTATATTTTATATTATTATTATATTGAAATGGACATATATATGAAAAAAAAATGAAGGGGTTGGATTGAAATTAATTAATACATGCGTGAAATGATTTCTCATGCCAAAAAAAAAAACAAATAAAAAAAATTACCTGAATTATAGGAAGCACCGGCAAAAGGAGATCGGCACGCACATGAAGGTAAAAATTTTGCAGCCTTGTCTTATACGACTCCGCATCTTCTCGGTTCACCGTGTCACTCTCCCCTTGAAACCAAAGCAACCCTCGGATGGTGCCTCCACCCTCTAACGCCGCCTCCGCCCGCCGTATCAGCTGCTTGTAAAGCTCCCCGCCACGTGCCCATTGGCTAATATTAGTCCCTCCGACTGCGCAAGGAACCAAACCCACCACCCCAACGCTCGAATCCTTTCCCAACAACGAACTTGCAAAGGCCATCCCAGGCCCAACGCCGCATGCTTTGGCGGTGTCAATGTCACGGTGAAGAGGCTCCGTGGCTAATTGCCAGTTGAGGTCCGCACTGAGACGGAGGATAGCGAGATTAGGGTAAGATTCCGGTGGAATGTAGTTGTCCCAGGTGTCATTCACGACGCCACCTCTGCCTGACATGTTGCTTTGGCCGGCCAAGATGAAAATGCTCTTCCCGGCGGCGGCGATAACTACCGGAACGGCGGAGGAGATCCAAAGAATAGCGTAGGAGAGGTACAATAGTAGCATATCTCTATTGGCTGTGGGTGTGTACGTGGGGTATAGCACGTAGTGTGTCTTTTGGTTCTTTTTTTCTTAAAGCGATAAATCAAAGAAATGCAGTAGAATATAATTTGCCCGACTTCAAAGCAAAGATTATTCCCCCCGTTTAATTTATCATTTTATCTATAAAAAAAACTTTTGTCACATTTGCGAATTGCTTGTTAATTACTAAGATTATACCAAACGGGTAACAATATATAAAAAGTGGAGTTAGTTTTGAGTCGTTGAGAGAGGATCATAAACTCGTAATGGTGTTCTTTGAAAACAGTCACACAGCTGTTTTCGGATGTATCCTTATAATTGTGATTTGTGAGTTTTTGGACGTATTCATATAATTGTGAATATGATAACAAATTAACAAGTCATTTCTGATGATCCTAAAGTAGGCTAGTGTAATCGGTTTTCTCAATACATAGATAGAACATATCATTAATATATATATATATATATATATATATATATATATATATATATATATATATATATAACATTTTAACGAATATATGAATAATCAAATGTTAATATTCATATTAAAATTACTTCAACAATACACATATACAACATTCATTACAGAATAATAATATAAACATAATGTTTTTACGTTGTCACACTATTTGCTGTTTTTATTTGAACTTACTTTAACATCTATACAACTTGTCATAGTTAATATATGTAGGGGTTGTTCCTGTAATTTTCTATTTCTTCATTCCTTTGTTGTATTTATTGTATCTATTTATAGTCTCCTCCTATTATCAAGGAGATCATTCGATCCAATTTACTTTCATGGTATCAGAGGGTTAAATCGTCCTCTCCTGTTTCCTCTTCTTGCCCTTCTCACTTCCGTCTTTTCTTCTTCTTCTTCTGTTCTTCCCTCCCTCCGCCTCCATGGCTAATTCTTCTGATGCATCAATCCCATTAAACACATTGATGCACATGATAACTGTTAAACTCAATTCCACCAATTACCTGTTGTGGAAGCATCAGATGCACCCTATATTAACCTATCAAGACTTATTCTCTCATGTTGATGGTTCTCTCCCGTGCCCACCCAGCACCATTACTGTTGCAGAAAAAGTGGCTGTGAACCCTAAATTCACGTCTTGGGTCAGTGCCGATCAGCACTGCATCATCATTCTTCAAGCCTCTTTATCGGAAGAAGCCATCACTGTTATTGTGGGTCTGACTTCCGCTAGACAAATTTGGGCTGCCCTTGAAAAAGCTTATGGTAACTCATCGATTGAACGGGTCCATAATCTTCGTGACCAGCTTCGCTTGATCCAGAAAGGAACCAAAACAATTGTTGAGTTTGGTCGCGCCTTCAAAGCCCTGTGTGATCAGTTGGCTGCGATCGGGTTTCCCGTTGATGAAGATGATCAGTTGCACTGGTTCTTGTGTGGCCTCGGACCCATCTTTGAGACCTTCTCCACTACTGTTCGATCAATCAGGCCTGCTCCGCCCTTCGCCGACTTGCTCGCTCGGGCTGAAAGCCACGAGTTATTCATCCGGGCACTACATCACTCCGCTACACCCCCAGTCGCATTCCATGCCAATTTTGAACCACCTGTGACTGCTTCGACTGCTCCTGGAAATCGTGGGGGTCGTGAACCCTAACGTGGTGGTAACAATGGAGGGTCTCGCGGTGGTCGTGGTAATCGGGGTGGCAGACGCAGTCCCCACTGTCAACTGTGTCGCACCAATGGACACTATGCCAATGCTTGTCCCGATTTAAAGAAATTTGCTGTTGGGATCGATGTGAAGGATAATGACTTAGCCACTGCCTTCTTATCTCAATGCCATGTTTCGTCTCTGGTTCCTGATTGGTTCGTTGACTCCGGCGCAACCGATCAGATGACTTCCACCACTCACTCGGTCTCCGATGCTTCAATTACCCTAGGTACCGAATCTGTTACCTTTGGTAATGGCAAGTCCCTCCCTGTCACTCATAAAGGGCACTCAATCTTCAATAATAATCTTCGTTTGAATGACATCTTGGTTGTATCGAATCTCATTCACAACCTTTTGTCTATCAGTAAACTCACTAAAGATAAGTTGGTGGATGTCTTACTTTCTTATCCTTCGTTTTCTATTCAGGATCGTCACACCAAGCAGGTCCTAGCCAACGGAAACTGTGAGAATGGTCTCTATGTCCTCCACCCAAGTCATCAAGCATTTGTGTCTCATTCAAGCCCCAAAGCATCGTTTGAAGTGTGGTATTCCCGTTTGGGTCATGCAAATTTTGACGTTATTACCTCTTTACAAAAACTTGGTTATCTTGTAGTGAATGCACTGTTACCTAAACCGGGACATTTTTAATATATATATATATATATATATATATATATATATATATATATATATATATATATATATCTGCAAAGTTTCCGAAATTAGCCCCTTACGCCTTCTGTCGGATCTGCCACAACCACCCCCGTTTTCAATCTTTCATGGAAAACTTACCGGAATCGGAAACACGTTTCGATGTGTTTGTTTCAACCTGCGACATCGGCGGAGTAGACGTTGGGGATCTCAGGGAGCGTATGGAAGACTATGTCGGACGGGTGAAAGAGATGAAGATACTGGATGAGAAGGCGGTGGAGAAAGAACGAGAAGAATCGATTTTGTGTGCAGATTTTTCTGGAGTGGTCTCATGAGCAAAAAGGAAAGAAAAAGGGAGGAGTCGGTGAGGGATAGGAAAGAATGAGTGAGAAACACATCTTATTAGAAGCGGGGGAGGTGGAAGAGGGTGACACAACACGTGTCGAGGACACTAATTCAAGACATTGACCGCCCATTGACCAGCGACTAAAATAGCCAACCTTTCAATCTGTTGTGGCAATCCTTTGGAACACGTGTCCACAAAGAATGGACAACTTGGCATAAATTGGACAAAAAAGAAAGCAATAGCAATAGAGACTAAATATAACAAAGTTAATATAGAAGAAGGACCAATTTTGCCAAAAAAGGTGGATGTTCACTATTCCTAACTTAGGACATTTTTAATATATATATAAATATATATATATATATATATATATATATATATATATATATATATATATATATATATAAAGATGGTTTGGTGTTATTTGCATGAGTCCAGTTTTTGATATCTGCAAAAGCAATTAATTTCATAGACAAGATACAAAGATGGTTCTTACTATTTATCTAATTAATTTGTATTTTTCTTTTAGGGTTTTCATTTTAGAATCACCAATTTCTACCAAAGGGAAGAGACGGCTTCTTAAGCAATATGACTTTCATTCCCATAATCAAACATATTTAGCCCGTTAATGGTACTTAATCACCTGTCTGGTAGAAGCTTTCAAGATTCAAGTTTTTGATGATTATGTAGTAATTGTAGCATAAGTAACAGCTGTTGAATATCCTTTCTTTCCGAGTATCTTGCTGTAGTTTTGTTTAAATATATGCATACCAACTTTCTATCTGTAACTAAGGTAACATTTTCTGTTTGGTAAGATAATATAATAATTAATAACTTATTTTGTAAATTTTTCAGGTCAACTTTTTCAGAACTTTTATGCATTTAATGACCACTTTCTATGCCGATTTTCCTGGTATGAATTACAACGAAATTGGAATTCGCTATTTCATTCCATTGTATGTTTGGTTTCTATAAAACGGAATTCAATTCTGTTATGTTCTTTTAGACATCATGTTCGATGGATTTCACCAATTTTATGGTGAATGGGAGGAATCGAGTTCCATTATTCTTTATTTGAAAGACCAAAAAATCTCTCATACTCTAATTCCTTTGATATGATTGTCCGTTAAATATAATGATGTTACATGTTTTTTATTTTTAGAACCTTAGCCAATTAGGATTGTTCCTCTGTTCATCTGGTCTTCCTGCAATTGCTGATGTAGCGGCAGCTATTAAAGCTGAAATGTATGATATCTGAGTACATTTTTTTTTCAATTACTTCTCAATTATTATTCAAAAATTAATAAATTGATAAATTGATAAATTGGTTTTCAGTATTTATTACTAACTTATACAATTCCAAAACGTAATAAATTGATAAATTGTCTTTCAGTATTTGACAATTTACAATTTTGCTTATAGATGTAAAATAACCAAATTAGACATCTCCCATATTATTGACTTTTTTGTTATATAAATTAAGGGCAAAATTGTAATTTAGCTTTCCCTATTTATAAGGAGTTTCTAATAAGTTAAAAATTGATACGAAATAAATAGAAATTTAATTTTGCAATCCATACACATTACCGGTATTAACCAGCACTAAGCTAATAAACATTTTAAACAAGCAATCCGAAACACCCTCTAATTCATGTCATTAAATTGATTCTTCAACTTTTCCTATATATAATGTCGCATTTAATATCGAGACTCTTTTGGTAAATCCATTCAAGTACTTTTTATCTCTCAATGCCCAACAGAATGTCAAAAAATCAGTCTACCAACTACGATAAATTACACAAATACCCCTCTCAGACGTTTTCTTCTAAATCTTGGGCTTATGATAAAGTTTATATCTTTTTTTACTTTAACAAACGGAAAACCAGATTGAAAATAGCTACAACTCATGTTAAAGGTAAAAAGCACATCTGAAAGTCATTTTTTTAAATCATATCATACAATATTCATGATGATAATTTGTTGTTATATTTCCTTTTATATTCTCAGATGGATTCGTATGATGATAAATAACCTCATGTCAAACACACAACCACCCTTCATTGGTATGGTATACAATATTGGCTTTTTTACATTATCTTTTTCCAAATTCTTATGATGATTATAAATATTATGTATGTGAATTTTTACAGTTTACACATAGGAGTAGTTGGCAGACTTTTGTTGTCAGTTATATTCCCAAGAAGCTTCTGAAACTCAAGGCAATCTATAATGTGATAATTAATGAAACACTAACGTACTTACATGTCTCTACAAAAACAGCAATGTACTTAAATTTTGCTACCAATATGGGCATTGTACTTTATATTCTATAATTTTCCCTAAATAATTATTGTTTTTGCTGTAGTTATTTTCGCCACGTGGGCTTCAAGTTGAGAAAACCAGCAACGTTTCTAATATTCAATGCCTTGAGGTAGATTCTAATTGTGGTCAACAAACACGTTTCGTTTAGCTTTAATTTAAAAAAAAAATGGCAATTGGGAAAAATGGTCCCAAAAGTTTTGTTTTTTTTTGCTTTTTTTTAAATAACATATTCTTGATGGATAAGGGTTGATATTGTAACCTTTTTATTAGTATGCACAATTTCATCCAACAAAAATGTCAATACGATAATAATAGAAAATATGTTATTTTTTCTTCTTCAGGTGGTTTTATTCAAGTTATGAGGAATGGGATTTCGACTCGAAATGTTTTTACTATCAGCTAAAAGCGTTAAATGCAAAAAATAGCAACGTACACTAATTTATTTGTTTACTTTCATTTCTTACATTAGGACATTATACTCTATTCAATCTATCCAACTGTATTGTATTTGAATGACATTATAGCATCCTACTTTCGTAACCTGCCAAACATCAACAAAAAAAATCCGACCTGTGCAACGCACGGGCCTCATTTCTAGTTTCCATTAATGGTGTGTTAATACCGTAATATAACCGTAAAAGATTGAGAAAAAAATAGGACAAATCTAATCATATTTGGCAAATGCCATATTATGTACACATCATTCTATCCTAACATACGTCATTCTAGCTTTATTTTTTTCTATCATTATCATATGATAATTATTTCAATATTTTTTTCTATCATTATCATATGATAATCATTTCAAAAAATAATGACATGTGGAATTAAGAATCGAAAAATTAAATATCCTTATACTTTTTGTTCATATTTATCTTTATACTTATATAAAACAATTGTTAGTGTATCTCACATCGGTACGACACGGTCTTATAAGTTGCTATATATGTTAGAGTCTCCTTTCTCTCCACAAGGGCTCTTTTGGAGATATAATCTTAGGCTCCATATATATTTACATGGTATCTGAGTCGGCGTTCCGCACCCCCGTGGCTCAACACATCCCAGTCTATCCTCATCGAGCCTCCGACTCTGAGGGGGAGTGTTAGTGTATCTCACATCGGTGCGTCACGGTCTTATAAGTAGCTATATATGTTGGAGTCTCCCTTCTCTCCACAAGGGCTCTTTTGGAGAGACAATCTTAGGCTCCACATAAATTTACAACAATGACATATGGAATCCATTAATTTTCTCTTAATCTTCTTTCTTAATTTTGGAGAGACAATCTTAGGCTCCACATAAAGGTATGAGGATATTTGATCTCTCGAATCGCAGGCGAACCTTCATGCACTGTGATTTCATCATTTGGGTTATGATTTCGTCAGTTGAGCTCTGATTGCATAAAAAAATTAACTTCTTTCCATTTTGGCATATGATAAAATCGCAAATGGCATTTGGTCGTGATTTCCTCTGACTACATCTATGATTTTCTCTCCTCAATCTCATCTACGATTTCCTAACCTCAAGTGAGATTGAAGAAGTATCAAATGTATAAGGTTATGTGTAACGTCCCAAAATTAATACCAAAATTTTCATTTTTAAATTAATAAATCTAGTATCCAAAACATCATCATAAAACCATGGTGGAACAAAGTGTATCAAATACATCATAAAACATCAGAGTAATCATAAAATGCCGAATGAGGTGGTGTCTGCACTACAATCATCCCGATCTCTTCCCCTTCGAACCACAAGTACTTGAAACATAACCTGAAAACCGTAAGTACAAAGCTTAGTGAGTTCCTTAAAATACCACATACCATATATATAAACACATAATGGGCCCTGCCCGTCATTGGGCCCCGCCCGACATCGAGCCCCGCTCGGTATACAGATCTGTCAGTCATCAGGCTTCGCCCGACATCGGGCCCCGCCTAGTGTACATATAATCATATAACAGATAAACACATAACATATGCAATAATCACAAAGATAAATAGCATACATAATGGTCATCGGACCCCGCCTGGCATCGGGCCTTGCTCGGTAAGCATACAAGCACATAACACGTGCAAGATTCACACAGACATCTAGCATCCTAACATAGTGTAACGACCCAAATTTTCAAAAGAAAATTTTCATTTTTAATTAGTCACACATATTTCCAGTAACCATGAAATCCCATAACAGATTGTTTTCAAATCCACATTCATTACAACTTTATTCAAAAACATCAGAGTGTCCCATAAAATATCGGTGAGAGAGTGCACGCCGCTCCATCAAGCCTTGCCCTTGCCCTTGGGCTCAGATGTACCTGAAACAAATCTACAAACTGTAAGCTAATGCTTAGTGAGTTTCCCAGAGCATACCCCACACACAATCCATATAACACATATCATATTAGCTAATAAGCTATCTCTACCACATAACATTAGCTAAAAAGCTATCTCTATCACATAACATATCATATCAGCTGTAAAGCTATCTCTAACACATATCCCTGCATAAGGATGTCATGGGCTCCCCCACATGGTCTTACACCTAAGTGACATGGGATCCCCCCATGGTCTTTCCCTGCCGGACGGCCATAGGCTCCCCCACATGGTCTTACATCCAAGTGTCATGGGCTCCCACCATGGTCTTTCATGCAAACATTACATAATCACTAGCATACAACTTATCACAAAGCTAACTATCATACCACATAACTCTACTACAGCTAGTGTATCACATATCATAAAATGGGCCGGCCTTGGTGCCTTAGACCCATGGGTATGGTGAGAAGACTCACCTCCGTCCGAAGAATCTGAAACTACTCTCCTAACTGCCTGCAACCTCCCGTGCTGATCAATAGTATTAACCCATGTTAGGACATCACATAATAAAAGTGAAACCCAACCCCAAGTCCTTCTATGAAGGCCCAAATATCATTTCTTTGCTAATGGGCCCAAAGTCCAAGACCAAAATCATTAATGGGCCTCTTGGCCCAACAAGGCCCAATCAATATATCCATGGCCCATAGCAGATGATATGACTCACAAATCCCATAATGCAACCATGCCCAATAACTAAATGAGGTCCAAAAGCTCCAAGGCCCAAAACAGATTCGGGCCCAACTGTGATGCGTACGCTCGCCGTACCATCCTGGTATGCGCAGCGTACTGGGGTCTGGGACTAAGCGCGGCGTACACTGGGTTACGCCCAACGTACAACCAGATTAAGCACTTTCTCCATTAAGTGCTTAATACTCGATTTCTTTACGACCAAAAGCCAGATCTAAGTTTGTTAACACATCCTAAGGCATAAAGTTGGCAACTTTATGCCTTTGCATGGTTCATATACACCCAACACCTCCATTAAGACCTTTCCAAGGTCTTTAACCCATGCATGAGACCAATACTTCCTTCAAGACTCCATTTTTATGATACTAAAAGACCAAGGGACCCCATATCTGTCATTCCCATCCTCTGGAGTTGACTAACTCCCCAATGGAGGTCCAAAATCAACCAAAAGGGACAAGATAGAAAACCCTAGCTAGATCTAGAGATTTAAGATGAAAGATCCAAGCTTTTTACCTCCAGAAGCTTTGCAAGATGACCAAGATGCAGGTTCTTGAAGCACCAACTCGTCCCAAGCTTGCTTGACCACCTCTTCTTCTTGGAATGAACACTAAAAGGCCACAAATGCACTCTTTAAAGCTCAAAATGGTCTCACAAGTTTCTCTGGAGTGTAAGAACGTTCTAAGGTTGTGGAGGCTCTCTAGGGTTAAGTCTAAGGGACTTAAGGTCGCTTAAATAGGCCTCATGTCCGAAAATTAGGGTTTTGGACCCATGGCACGTACGCCCAGCGTACTTCTGGTACGCCCAGCGTATGTCCAGCTCCACCGCGACCATCCATACATAGTATGCTAAGCGTACAATTAAGTACACCCAGCGTACTTAAAGGACCAATTATGCTAAAATGTAAATTCTTGAGGGTTTCAAGTCGTACCAGATTTAGGGTGTTACAACTCTCCCCCACTTAAACTAGACTTCGTCCTCGAAGTCCGTAGTTGTAAACACATCGGGGTAATGCATCTGTATCTCCTCCTCCGGCTCCCAAGTCCATTCGGAGCCCTTTCAGTGCAGCCATTGCACCTTTACCAACTTCACTTCTTTGTTCCGAAGACCCTTTGTCTTCTTATCTAATATGGCGACCGGAATCTCGACATAATTCAAGCTCCCATCCACTTGAATGTCATCCAAGGAAACAACCGCGGACTCGTCAGCAAAACACTTCCGAAGCTGAGACACGTGGAAGGTATTGTAAATCTGACTAAGCTCCTCTGGCAGCTCTAAGCGATATGCCACCTTGCTCACCCGGGCCGTGATCCTGAACGGACCTATGAACCGAGGCCCCAACTTGCCCCTCTTCCGAAACCTGATGATCCCTTTCCAGGGCGACACCTTCAGCAACACGAAATCTCCCACCTGGAACTCAAGATCTGATCGTCGTCGGTCAGCATAACTTTTCTGGCGGCTCTACGCGACTCGCAGCCGGTCACGCACCTGCTGAATCAGTCTGGTGGTCTTGAGAACTACCACAGTGCTCCCCATGACTCGATGCCCGACCTCGTCCCAACACACCGGAGTTCTGCACCTCCGACCATATAACATCTCAAATGGAGCTCGGTCAGTACTGGCACGATAACTATTGTTTTACGAAAACTCTGCCAGTGGAAGGTATGTATCCCACCTACCTCCGAAATCCAGTACGCATGCTCGAAGCAAGTCCTCCAGCGTCTGGATCGTCCTCTCACTCTGACCGTCAGTCTGAGGGTGGTACGCCATGCTAAAATGTAGCTGAGTGCCCAGTTCCTCGTGGAACTTCTTCCAAAACCTGGAAGTAAACCGGACATCCCTGTCGGAGACTACCGACACCGGCACCCCGTGTCTAGCAACCACCTCTCGTACATATATATCCGCCAACTTTTCTGCATATATACTTTCAGAAATCGGAACGAAGTGGGCACTCTTCGTCAGTCTGTCTACGATCACCCATATGGCGTCCACACCCCTCGCCGTCCTAGGTAACTTTATGATGAAGTCCATAGTGATCTCTTCCCACTTCCACATGGGAATTGGGAGTAGCTGTACCTTGCCATGCGGCCAC